TCAATACTGATGGTCTGTTTGTGTTCTTGTAACATTTGTGCATTTTTTTTTTTTTTTTTTTGCAGAAATGTAAATAAAGCAAATCTCTTTGAAAAATTTGTACAAAATTTGAATTATTCTTCACTATCATAGGATTAAACCAGAGATGACAGAACATAATAGAAGCCATGTTCAGACGCGCACGTTACTTCTGACAAGTGTTCACAAGATGCTTATCCAGGGCCTAATGTTCTTTATACATTAAAGCTAGTTCAGAGTTTAGAAGTAAATATGCAAATTTTCCAGAAGTGATAATTCGTTATCCCTGAACGGTTATTTTGCACACTAATTCTTGAAAATTGTAAACTACCATGAAAATTTTGTGACTACAAAGTTTTACACACAGGAAATGTTATTTCTGCACTCATTCAAAGAAATTATCTTTTGAAAAAATTTTAGGTCATAATGAAGGTCGTATTTACTTGCGAGCTCTGAAGTAAATTGTGTCTACAATACATGGCGTTACCAAGTGCGTACATTATTCCATTTTTTGTGTACGTAGAAGTAGCAAACTTACTCCTGAGACTTCTTACTAGTAAATCGTCGGTAGTAACTTGGAGTAACTTAATACAAAGAGCATCTTCAAGGGTGATACACAGGGCTTCAGTAAAAAAAAAAATAAACTGCTACTTCAAAGCTTTCTTACAGTATGTATGAAAGTACCTATAAAAGTTATAGTATTCATGAGAGCATTGTGAGTGTATAACAACATATTTTAGTTTTGTTGCATCTGTTGATGTTCTCCATGGTCTGGTTCCCTATTAACCGCAATGTATTAATGGCTACTACATATCAACTTGCCCATAAATTTAAATGCAAAAACCTTATTTGACGACCATCTGAAATGCCATGTCTGACTGCCAATACGCACACACCATGACAATCCTGTCGCCAAAATGTCTCTAAAGTAGTTTGAAAAACCCACTTAAATCATAGCACAATGTACATACAGATAAAATTATATTAAATTATGAAAAAAATCTCTAATTTCTTGATTAGGCCCTATAAAAAATATATTAATTTATCACCTTTTAGGCAGGAAGAAGTGATGAGGGAGGGAGGGTTTTTAAAAAAAATATATATTTTGCTAAAGCCAAATATCACCCTTGGGTTGTTTGTTGGTGAATTAATATTCAAAGTAAAACATGATTGAGATAATCCAAACAATATCTACTATTTAATAGAATTTTATTTCATTGATTTAAATTTATTTCAAAACAAATTTATACAAGTTTACATTTACTAAAGAAATATTCAATCTCGGAGTTTGTTCGGATTTCTTTTTTGTTATGTAAAGAAGGTTTTTGCAACAGGAGGGTGAATAATAGTAATACTATAAATAGTTAGTCCTCATCTTGCATAGATGCATCTTCTGCTGGTTTATTTATGACTGGTCACATACTTTGCTTTCTAACCTATATCCATACATTTCCGCTGTCATCTAAATTATAAGCATTGAATACAGTATGACCATCTTACAAATTCAACTTAAAACTAAGTCTGCAATGCTAGAAAATTATTGATGTAAGATGCAAAATTACGTATACAGTAGCCAATCATTACACAGAATTCAGGATTTTTACATTTCAAAGAGGCCTAGGATTAATGTAGACTATATACTTGGAATCATGGGTACTTTACTGTATGCCCCTTAAAGAAGTGGGCTTGATGAAGAAATATAGGTCACTTAAGTTGACCCACATAAGAAATTTGAAAGTATAAATCAACTGTAAAACAGCAAGCCACAGTGATCAACAGAGTGAAATGAGTTAGAGTAAGCCTAAACTCAAAGTGATAAGGGAAGAGAGTACACTATCCTCATTTTGAATGTGTTATTATGATGTAGGCCTATAATTGTACTGTATACTCAAAGATTATAAGGGAAAAGAGCGCAGTATCCTCATTTTGATGAATGTGGAATGGGGGAAGGGATGGAGTATTGCCCACTGTCATGTTTTTTTTAAAAAATCAGTTTCCCTATTTTCTGCATGACACAATTCGTTCACAGAAGACATAGACATAGATAACTGTATTTGTCAAGTTAAAATATGCATGAAAATTTTTTTTCTTTCCATTAAGAAATATAGATAATATTAGGCCCTATAAGAAATATTATTAGTTTATCACCCTATCTGGGCAGGAAAAGTGATGAGGGAGGGAGGGAGGTGTTTTTTTTGTTTTTTTTTTTGCTAAAGCCAAATATCACCCTTGGGTTGTTTGCTGGTGCATTGATATTCAAAGTAAAACATGATTTAGATAATGCAAACAATATCTACTAACTATTTAATAAATAAATGAAAAAAATTATTTAAAAAAATTTAAAAAATTTTTTTCCCCCCCCCCCAATTTTTTTTTTTTTTCCAGTACCATAAAAGACATGCGCGCGAGGGTGATAAACTAATAATTTTTTTTATTGGGCCTTAAAGTCAAAATTTTAAACTGAACCTACAAGCAGATAATACTGTACATTCAAAGAATATACAATACAAAGTATGTAAACAACTAAATAGATTATGAATAACTGTACAAACTAGTTATTAATAGGGATAATTTTTTATTTTTTTAATATTTATACCCGGACGCACTTCCTTCCACTAGACAATCATAGCACAGCCTACAGTATGTACTTCCATAACAACAATGGCCACTTGAATTGGCATAACTAGGAAATGGCGTATTTATAAACAGTACTGTATACAGTATTACCACAACTTGCTATGTCACAAAATGAAAAAATACAAAACGAATAATACAAAATCTGCATTTTGAATCTTGAATTATATACCATGGGTCAGCCTGAATATTGTAGTTATGGAGAGCAGCTTGTCTTTAATTGTGGCATCGTGCATATCTTCACTGTCTGTGCATCAATTGAAGACCTAAATTTTAGAAAGGTCTAAACTCACTCAAGTGAAGATAAGGGTGATTTTGGTACCATAAATCTCTGTAGCATTTAGCATGCGTGCTAAATATATTTCACCAGCTAATTAGATGTCCTCATAGCTATTAGTAGATGTTCCTTTAGCTAAGTAGATGTCCTTAGCTATAATAAATGTTCATTTGAATAGCTAAATAAATGTTAAATAGATTCCTCTAGCTAATGTCCTATTTGTTGCTAAATATACATATTTCCTAATAGCAAAATATTCTCTCTCAAGATTTATTTTCTGTAATATTATCACTGCTCTCAGGTACAAATCTGTGCGCGCAGAATGCAAAAGCATGTCACAGTACACAGGAATATTAAAATGTAGAGATACTAAAAAGAAATGCTATCAATATTTGATATCTATAAAAAAAAAAAAACTGTCAATATAGCCTCGAGACAATACATCAATACTAAATAACAGTCTGCAAGTCCTAATAATTGTAATATTTACATTTGAAGCGAGTAAGTACAGCTTAATACAAATTGTATTCATGACTGGACTTCACAGGCAACAAATGTTGCTGTACGCAGTTGTTTCCAGAAATGTGTTTGGGAATATAACCAGGATAAAAATATTAAGTTTAAATTCGAATGTATTCAGTAGTAACTTGCAAAGCTATAATAATAGGCACCAATCTAATAATTTTTCATTGAAAATTTTTTTTTTATATAAAATTAGGAAAAACATTAAATAACGCAGCAAATGTGAGAGTTTTTATGGATTAAAACAGCAAAAGGAAAAGATATAAAAATGGTAAGATACTTAAAATTTAAATTTAAATACATACAAAAACTGCATATTAAATATTTTAAAAAATTTATATATGAAAATGATTATTTCACTAAAGTAGAGATTTAACATTAAATTCCAATAACCTTCACCATGTCATTTGAATCTAAACTGTATAGTTTGAGGTGAAGTAGCAAATAATAGTTTTAAGTTTACACAGTATGACTATGATAATAGTACTGTATATCCTCATGTTATTTATTTATGCCTGCAAGGTTTTACTTCAGGACTCAGAGAGTGGGTTGAAAGCATCTTCTTAACCACAAAGTTACAGTTAGCACTCAAGGAAAATTGAGACTACTATAGTAAGTGATTTAGATCTTGAAACTCCGTATTCTCTGAACTTCTGTAAGACTACTTAGAAACACAGGATATCTCCTCTCAAAGCTCACTACTCGCTTTCAATTTATAATATTCTTATATGGTAAATACAGAATATAATATGCTACTTAACTACGTCACTATTAAATGCCATACTGATAACCTGTATTGGATTGATGACAAAAGACAGAAAATAATGTACAGTATTAAACATCTCCAAACTTTTACAAACCCCACATTTACAAACTCATGATTTTACGAATCGAATTTGCGGCGATGACGTCATTACAAACGATCGTTTTTAACTATAAAAACACTTTAAAATGTATTTTAAAATTCTTCTGAAATAATTCAAATTGTTACAGCAGCTAAGAGAAAAACATTCAAACCAATAAATGATATATAAAACAAAAAGCAATAAATGATATAAAAGTTCAAAGCAATAAATATTAATTTTTGATCATTGGGAGCGCTATTCACATGGATTCGCGATCCTTATGAAAAGAATAATAACACTCGTTTTGGGCATTTATGGCCATGTTTTCTTTCTCAAATCACTTCAAATGAATACTTCCCAGTGAGCACAGGTAATTCTGTCTTCTGTAAAGTAACTAAACAAGTCAAGTAAATTACAATAGCAACAATAACAAAATACAAAATGCAATTTACTATAAAATTAAAACATAAACATTGGCTAAGAATAATGGTACCATACGCTATCTCTGCAATGAGTGTTTCTAGCCATTGCCATACCTACAGTAACCTTCTTTATCATTACCGAGATAGCATACGGTACAGTACCGTATCTAGATATATTGTTATAAAATAAAGCTAATATAATATTGAATAACAGATAAAAACTGTTCTAGCTCTGGAGGGGGAACCACTAGAGTAATCTAGGTTTAATCCTAAAGAACTCACCGTTCCTTTAGGAAATCACAGCATGCTTCTTTGACTGCTTGTAACTGTAGAAAGTTTGCTCCGACAAGGATGGCCTGTACGTTGGAACTACTCAGCTCTACACGGCCATTATATGCATAGTTCACTAATGCTTCTAGGGCACTAAAGCAAAATAAATTAAAAGCATTCTTTAAATACACAATTTTAATTAAGAGAGAAAAAAATTATTTAAAAAATAGATAAATTCAATAGCGCTTCCATTATTTTCTTTCATGTTCAAAGTGCAAGTTTCAGACGGTTTTTTTTTTTTTGGAATGTCTGTATCCTTTGACCTTTTCATCCCAAAATTGAATTACCTCTTCCTTATGGTGGAACAAAAAGGAAATATTATTATCAATAAAGTACTGTTCATCATCACATTTCACTAAATCATTATCCATAGTACATTAAACCATTATTCCCTACATATGGAAGCATTAATGATGCCACTAGGGCAATGTCACAGTACTTTTAAGACTGTGAAAATGAGATTATTTAATTCTGATGAGAAGAAATTATATTAGTTTCATTAATCTGGATTGTGAAACTTGGACTTTAGTTTCACACCTCAAATCATCTATTAACAGACAGCATCTGATTTTGTAAACAATGAGACCAAAAGAAAATCAAATTTATACACATGTCTTTGATTATAAGCCAACACACAAATGCATGTTAACATCTTTTTTTGATTCTCAGACATTAGATTCTAAGTAAAAATGTTTAATAAATAAATTTAAAAAATTGTGATAGATATAGAATTAGAAAAATAAATTTATATGCTGCAAAGAATCCACTACATATTTCTAATTAACATTTAGCCAATTAGTTTAAAGTACTGTAGTTTTAGGAAGATATACAATACTGTATGGGGGAGGGGAGGTGTTATAGGGGCAGAGGGGAAGGGTGTCATTAAGGGGAGGGATGGAGGAAGAAGGACAGAGAGACAGTAAAATCAAGTCAAATGGCTAGCTGTAATGGGAATTGCAAAGAGGAAACTAACATGGATGCAAAAAGAAAATTATTATCAGAGAGGAAGCATAGAAACTTCAATGGGAAGGCAATAGGAAAAATGTTCAAAAGGAAAGCTTTGGGGGAACTGTAAGTACAGTAGTGGGGCCTCAGCTAGTTGGTTTCAAATACAGGGGGAAAATCTGTAGTACAACCACAATCATAAAAAACCCTATTGTTGGCCTTATCACTGTAAGTGTAAGTAAGCAACCTTCAGGTTTTTAGTCAAAAAGCAGAACTGTTGAAAAAAATAAAAGATAAATATGTATCACACACAAGATAAAATGGATTTAGTTATGTCATGGACAAATTTGAAATTCACCAATTATTATACAGGATTTTGAACTTTCTGATTCCACGTTGTAAGTCTGTCCTATGCACTAATCCAGGGATCAGTTATCTTGTATACATTAACAAAGTAGACAATTTTTATGAGGGGAAGATTTCAAAATCCTACTGTTATTAGGTTGGTCCATTAAATTTTTATTTAACTCAATAAAATTTGGTTATTTATTTCTAGTGTACAATGCATTTGTGTTGCTATCCAGCTCTCATTTTGTATAATTATATAATTATAAATAAATTAATATCAATTAAAATATATTGAATACTATAGAGTAGTAAATATTGAAAATTATGACAATAACATTCAAACAATGCAAGAATGTCAATGTACCGACAAAGTAGGTACTTTAATTTGTTTGTTTATTCATTTAGGATGCAATAAAAAGTTTCAAAGGATTACATATTTATTTTATTTTGTGAATGTTTGATGGGCAAATACTGTATTTTGTCATAACTATATTTATCTTGGATTTTTTTTTTCATTTTGTTTGAAGCAGACAGAAGCTTTACAGTAGTTTTATGTGCTAAATAAGTATAAATTTATTACTAAATCATATTACTAGTATTATTACATACACAACTTAGATTTACTTATGTGACAATATGGACATAAAAATAAAAGAAAAGTGTTAAGCAATCATTTCATATGCATATTCACTTTATTTTTTCACAATGTTTTATTTTTAGTTGCCTCAATTCAATACCTCGGTTCAATGCCTTGTATCATTATCTCGTCTTGTTTACTCTCCACCATGTCTGTCGTAAACATGGCGTGGAAGTACGGCACAGCTGCGGCCAAGACAATACGATGGGCTGTGAACTGAACATTTCCAACCTGAAAAAAAAAGAAGAGGAATTTGTTTCCAATATTTACAGTAGTAGGGGTTTTTAAATTCCAGACAATGACCTGTCACAAGTTTTCAGAATTGCCGAATGATAGACAGACAATTTTTATGTATTAATACAATATAAAATTTGAAAATTTGGAAAAATGTTTTTTGAGAAAAATAGCAACTTGCAAGTTTAACGCATGAAATTGTGAACAAGTCTACAACACAAGATACCATATAAATGTACAACCTTGTTTCTGATAAGTATGGTAGTTAATAGAGAATATATCTTTGTACAATATGTTCAGAATTGTATGTAATTGATGACATACTGTACAAATATGTAAAATTTATTTTTTTTTTTAAATATTGAGCAAGTAAATCTATAAAACTCATTTTGTATTCTCTAATAAGTATATGTATATTCTGAATTTTTGTTTAATTTAAATATCGGGATTGGATTGAATTTATTTCGTGTAAACACCAAGGATGACCTACGTACATCCAAAACAAAAAGACTTATTTTCAGTGGGGTCATTCTGATGGTGATTGGGAAGTGATGGTGATTGGGAAGTAAAACCGAGAGACAATCTCCTAACCATTCCCCAATGATGAATAAAAAGTATAGCTACATTAGTCTGGTACAGTATAGAACACAATATAGAGTAAATGACAGCAGCACTTTTGAGACTAACAATATAGAATTTATTCTCTAGCTTTTGTCCACACAGTGGACTTCATCAGGAGACTGTGTTCCCCAATGAGTATACCGGTACTACATTCGTGCGACCACATGGACCATATTGCACACAGGACCAATCTTAAATGTCTTGCTGTAACTGAAAGCAACATAACATTGCATTTTCAGCTCTTTAGTGGAAACACAAAGAGAGCAGCAACTAGAATTGTGATTGGGGACCAAGAAATCTCCACAAAAAGAGCACACACAGAAACTTATCAAAAAGCCAACCTTATTAGCCATATTTGATAATTAGGGTTTCTTTTCGGAAAATAATATAGGAAAATTTCACAAAATTGCATGAAAATTCAGGAGACTGCTGATAGAATCTGGAGAGTTTGAACATTTAGACTAGCAGTGTTGTGTCAATAGACAAATACCAATCTGTGCATGCTCAGTAGTAGATGGCCGTAAGCAGAGCAGACGTTCCAACCCCTGGAACTAAAAATTTGGGAGAGACTGAAGTGCTGTGCGCCCCCACCCCCAAAATGTTGAAAGTTTTTCCATGCAGGCATTCTGATCTTGTGGTGAAATTAACACTGGAAAGTCATTGTATGCCAACATCGTTGATAAAGTCGGCGCACAAAAGAAAATTGAGACAGAAATACTCAACTATTCCCACATTTAGATTAGAACGCCCTAAAATAGCTGTTTTTGAGATTTGGGGGTTCTTTACCAACAATTTGATTTTTGAGAGTATTTCACAAAATTCTGGAGATAGGGAGATTGCATTACAATTCTGGAGACTCCTGATTAAATCAGGAGGGTTGCAACATACTGTATAAAGCAAAGTTTGTAATTTAATTACGCTTACACGTAATGCCGGGCACTCAATGCGGCCCACGCTTAATGGGCGGTGCAATTTTACGTGCACAGATCGTTATCAATGATGATCTGTTAAGAACGCCACCGACAATCAGTAGATGACGTTGTATAATCTAACATGTCACTGAAAGCAGAGTTTGATTCGTACGACACGACACAAGTGTTAGCCACTGCAAAATATATAATTCAGCATCTATGGGCCTACTGTGTCACACTGTGTACCCTCTCGATCGAAGACAAATCAGGCACAGGCCGCGGGCGAGTTGTTATAAATTTTAGTAGTACCATGGAGGTATAAAAATATTTTATACCGCCATGGTAGTACTGCCTGTAAAAAACAGTTCGGGCCTAGGCCCTAGCCCTATACTGTAGCCTACTACTAGGCTAGGCCCTAGTAGTACTACTAGTACTGCTACAGTACACAAACAAGGCTATTTGAGTAATACTACGACCATGCAAAATACGACTTGCTATTTACTTTAGTACTACACGAGTTCACAACAGAATTTGAATTAATGCAACATAGGTCTACAAAGTCTAACATAAATAAAAGCTAGAAATTTTAGAGACAGCATTTGTTGTACATCATTTTAGGCAATTCTTCTAGGGTTTATCACACCAAGAAGAGGTACCACAAATGACGCACGTCCCTCCCTACTACTGGATCCAGGATTTACAATAAGATTGTGAGTGTACATTGCAATTTTAGGCCTAGGACTCGAATGTACCTTTAAAGTTACATCACACAGCTTTCCTTGACGTCTGATTTCTTCCATTATCGGATAGCCATATAATGGAAGGCTTGTATTGAGGAATAATTTCGTACTCTCCAAGCCATCTTCACTTCCAAAACAATCGTAGTTCGCCATTTTCATTTTCAATCCGTCTTCCAGTTTTCGCTCGAAAGAGGGCGTGCTTTGAATATTTTTTTATATCATTGATATAAACAAATTATTTTAAAAACAATACCCACATTATTCAATTATAACTTAACGTTTGTTGAGTATTAGATGATAAATAATGTCTCTTTATTTCATAGTTGTTTTAAAATTATTTGTGTGTTTCTGAAATTGCGTTTGAATGACAGGCTAAATCGACAATTTCGATTTTTTTTTCTGATTTTTTTTTTTTTAAATTTATAACTATAGATTATCATTGTTCCGTGGAGAGCATGAACAGTTTTAAAAATGGTCCTTTTAGCATTCAGGAATTGTATATATGTAATCGAAAAAAAAAATAAAAATGACCATTTTTTCCCTAAGGGATTATATTAATCATGATCATTCCGGTACACAGCGTGTGAAGTCAGATATAAATTCGATGGAGAAAAAGATATCATAGGAAGCAGAGAAAATGTCATCTGATAAACAATACATGATTTTTGCTCTTGCTAGTCTTTAAACTAAAATGGCAAAAAGATAATATTATAATAGTATTCTATTATTCCCAATTCATTCCTTATTAAAATGTTTTGGACATCACCGTTTTCTTGCTATTACAAAATAATAATAGGCCTAACAATAACAATTATTATTTGATATATTTTTATTGTTTAATTTATTAATTTTATTTCATTTCACCCCTAACAGCGTAAACGCCAATGACAGGGAACATACAGTAAATACAATATAAATCATTATTTAAAAAAAAATTACTATAAAAACATTCAAAAATATTGAAAAAGTATATAAAAAAAAAAGAACATTGATGATAAACCAATTTACAATAGTTACTAAATATACAAGGAACATTATTGTTGTTGTTCTGCTAATGTTTTGTTCACACCAATAATTTTATGTCATATTACACCATACCAGCCCCACCATGGTTGGGGCTGAGGGGGAGAAAATGTTGAGAATATGGACCTCAAGGGGCCCGGAAATAGCACTCTCATTTTTAAAATCTTACCGGTACTACGGTATATTTTTAGTGATAAAAATAATATAACAACAATTACATAATACAGCAAATATTTTTTATTAATACAATTGGGTAAAGGGGGTGGGGTGCGATCGCACCGTCTGTACCCCCTCCCCCATACCCTGCATCCACCCCAGCATTGGCATTTCAAAGGGACAAACAAAATCCGATTGTGTCTACAAAGCTTAAGAAGATTACATTTGGCGATTAATCACGGAATAGAGAATTCAAATGACGATCAATACAGCGATAGGCCTAAAATGATGGATGGGTCTCACCAAAAGAGATTATGTAGACACATGATAGAACTACCTTGTATTGTTAGTGAAACACCTTCGTGCCCAAAAGTTTTCCCCTTAGGGTGTCCCGTCCCAATTTACTTTTGTCCCAGTCTTGAATCGTCTGATCCTCCTGGGTATAGAGGCCAAGCAAAACGATGATTTATATAGGCCCCTCGAAAAAAAACAACCCAGGATATTAAAAATTTAACATAGGAGGCAAATTTAAACTGGTGGTCAGCCAAACGCTATTCAATTGCAGACTTTATGTTAATTAAACTAGAATTAATATCATCATTCGATAAAGAATTCACAGCCAAACTGACCTAAACGAAACTTCCTAGTTGTGTCCTACACTGTAGAATCTTAAACGCCAGCACGACGCGCACACAACGGATGATTTTTAATGATGACGATCCATTTAGACTGCCATGCCCGAAATTATCAAATGGCATCCCGTCGTTTATAGCGATCACAGGGAGCGGATTTGGAGTCTTCCTACGACGGTCCTACAACCGTCGTACGACGCAGTCAGTGGCGTATCTGGAGGAGGACG